CCCTCCCAGTCCCTCTCCCAGTTCCCCCCAGTCCCCCCAGTCCCTCCCAGTCTCCCCAGTCCCCCCAGTATCCCCAGTACCTGCAGGGGGTAGGTGCGGTCGGGGTCGAAGGCGCTCAGGTCCCCACAGGCCACGAAGGGGACGATGACACGGGAGGGGCCCGAGAGCCGGGCCAGGGCCAGCCCTGGGGGCACCCCGAACCCCATGGGCACCCCGAACCCCATGGGCACCCCGAATCCAACTGGGCACCTCGAATCCCATGGGCACCCCAAATCCCATGGGCACCCCGAATCCTATGGGGCACCCCAAACCCCATGGGCACCCCGAATCCAACTGGGCACCCCAAATCCCATGGGGCACCCCGAATCCCATGGGCACCCCGAACCCCACAGGCACCTCAAATCCAACTGGGCACCCCAAATCCCATGGGGCACCCCGAATCCCATGGGCACCCCAAATCTTCATAACACCCCAAACCCAATGGGGAATATTGTGGGGGCACCTCAAATCCTCACACCACCTCAAATCCCACGGGGCACCCCAAATCCAATGGGGGCCATCGCGGGGGCACCCCAAATCCAACTGGGGGCTGGGGGCACCCTAAATCCTCAGGGGTCCCAATTTCCACCCCCCCCCCATAACGGCAAGGACCCCAGAATCCCCCCCAGGGATCCCTCAGAACGTCCCCAGACATCTCCCAATGCCCCCCAGACACCCCAAAATCCCACCAGGGACCCCAAAACCTCCCCAGGGACCCCCAAAGTCCCCCCAGCCCTCACCTGCCTCGGGCTCCAGCAGGGGGTTCTCCATGCTGGGCACGAAGCCCTCGGGGGGGCTGTAGCCACGGCACACCACGAAAGCCTCTGCCAAAAGAGGGGGACGGGGGGGTCCCCCAAACTCAGGGGGGTCTCCCCGCAGCCGAGGGGGGTCCCCAGGAGCCGGGGGGGGTCGCACCGATGCTGGAGTTGCGGCTGCTGCGGGGCTTGGCGCAGGTGACGTCGGGGAAGAAGAGGCGCAGCTGGGAGTAGAGCAGGGTCACGTCCTTGCCCCGGAAAATCTGGGGGGGCAGGAGGGTCAGCACCCCCTTTTTGGGGCCACGGGGGGGGGTCAGCACCCCCTTTTGGGGATGGGGGGCTCCAGACCCCCCCTCATTTGGGGGGGATCCCCTCAGGGACTCACCTTGGCCACGAAGGTGCCGCCTTTCTTCAGGACGTGGGTGGTGATGTTCAGGGCCTGGAGGAGGGGAGACCCCCCGAAATGGGATTGGGGGGGTCTGGGGGAGGGTCCCCAGGAGGTTTTGAGGTGGGTTTTGGGGCGTTGAACCCCCACACTTACTGCCAGCAGCAGCTGGGCCTGGATGTACTCGTCGAGGTCGTGCAGCCCCGTTACTGTGGGGGCAGTTCGGGGGTCAGGGGGTTTTGGAGGGGGGTTTAGGGGGACTTTTGGGGGTTCAGGAGGCCCCCCGGGCCCAGCCCCCCCAAACTCACCGTCAGGGGCCCCGTCACAGACCACCAGGTCGGCCGGGTGCCCCTCGAAGTGGCGCCGGATCTCCTGGGCCGTGGAGGCCTGGGGGGCACAGAGGGGGCAGGAATGGGGGCAGGGGTTAATGGG